ACAACAACAAATGTTGATACAATGTGAAAAATTGAAGAAATGATACGAAAATTAAAAATTAGTAATTGAATTAAGAGTTTATAACATACACCTGATGACGGCTCTATGAAAGCCGAAACATGTCGAGAATGTTCCATATGTAAATCGAGTACTCGATACGGAACAAAGGATAATATTTTAACCATTTAATTATCTTATATTACTTTATTGTGATTGACGGACAATTTTAATATATTTTAATACTATTTTTAAATAAAATCACAATATGACGCACCTACAATATCTTAAGGTTATGTTTGTAGAAAGTTAATACTTTGTCATTGTCGGTCTTCATTAACATTGTAAGAAACTATATAAAAGAAACAATAAATTGTAATTTTTTTATAGTTTTTGATTCAGTCGAGCCAACCAATTAATTTAATGTTTAAAGGATAGAATGTAGTTGAAAAATAACCATGAACGTCACTGTATTGAAGTCAAGGTTATGATGAAGATCATTGTCAGATACGTATGCTATTTAACACTGTGATGTAGTTACGGAAATTCAAAGTTGTGATAGGTCAGCAAAGTGCGTGGCCTAAAGCCACGAAAGGGCATTGCTAGTGACCCATTAGCATGTACTTTGTGCTTATAATGATACAGAAGCAACTCAAGTTAAATTTGTTTTTTTTCTTAAAATTGTTAACTTTGTAATTAATGATTTTATTTGTCATGGCTTGTCGAAAATACGATAATAATAATGGACGCTTTTATTACATTTGATCAAGCAAGTTAAATAATGAAAATGTTTGTCATATGATTTTAGTATAGCACTCGTACGTACTCGTAGCTAATGACAGTGACATTATTAATGTAATTATTTTAAGTAAGATTTGAGGTTATCATAGAAGTGGGTACAAAGATGGCTGTCTGCTAGATTGTAGCTCTGCGTAATCTGGTAGACGTTTACCAGTGTTTCAGAGTTACTTAACTGCCTCTATCGTCAGGGTGATGAATTACATGATGATGTGAAATGTTAGTAAACTTCTACCAAACTAGATGGCGCTACAATCTAGAAGACGGCCATCTTTAAAATTGTAGAAGTAGGAAAAAATCTTATAGGTTAGAGTCGTCACTAAAACAAAATTTTTGAGACATTGAGACATTTGCTTGTTGTCTTGGGATACTATTTGTAAATATATTTACCCTGGGAAGGGGTTCAAAGAACGGTCCAATCCAGAGCATCACAGCGAGGAGAATTAGACACGATATGAAGCTGGTTAGCTGGGTCTTGCCACCGACTGTCTCTTGGACAAGACTCCTCGAGAGTGATGCAGTGATGGGCATGCAGGAGAAGAAGGAACCCACAATGTTGCTGGTTCCCTGTTTACGACACAAGTTATACGTAATAATGAGGGAGAGTTGAAGTGGATGTTTTCAGGTTTCACATACGGTCAACAAGGCCTCTCTAAAGATAAGAAATTGTAAGAGTCGCTTGTTTTATGATGTACTTTCTATTTCTGGATAATTATTCTTTGAGATAGCTTAGCATTTTAAGTTAATAAAGTTTTGCAATGGAATTGAAAATACGTCTCCCTTTATGATGCAAAATACAATTCTTTCCATGCTGAAATAACTGAGATAATGCAAAGATATTTATGGTCATAAAAATACACTTGTGAAATATTCAATTCAATAATAGAATTATTATTTGCTTGTCGTAAGGCTACTGATAATAAGAATGGACCGAAATCAGTAACATATTTTGGAGGAGTCTAGTTTAAATCCCATCCAAGAGATTAACTATCCTGATTGAAATATTTTTATAGTTTTCCTTTCCAGCGAATGACATGACATTAAAGTAAATTTTTAAGTTTCGTGTTCCTCCTAATTCATCATTATTCTGTAATGTCACATTTGGTGCTATATAAACCCAGCAGTTATGAAGTTTTGGTAAATAAACAGAAGGATTAAACATTTTAGATTTAA